TTGAGTGCAGGAGAGAACCCAGAGGGCAGGGATATGGAGAAAGGAGCAGCGAGTCGAAGTCTATCCTGCGAAGCGATAAGCCACGAAGACTGGGCCCGCTTCTACGTGAAGTCGCCGTCAGCGCACCGCACCAACAAGTGCTGAGTAGAACAGCCCCGAAGCCCCTTTGCGCTAACTCTTGTAAAGCCGAAGGCTAAGGCTGGAAGTGGGAGACTTCTACTCGTGAATGCATAGCTGGACCAGACGAGGACGTCAACATGAAGGAACGTGAGACAAAATGGTTTATAGGCTCTCGGCAGACCAATCCTACAAATGATCCAACGTGAAACGCTCCTAGAGATCTTATGTGGGAAAACGTGAAATGCTCGTACCGAATATAGTGGAGAATCACTCAAGCACATGGACTTGGGGTACTACAGTTACACTCTCCCCAAGTTCCACACTTGCTGTCGACGTCTAACCACAAGGCTTACATCCGCAAACACAAACCTATAGACCCACCTTGCAGATAGGGCAGTCTGTGCATCGCAGCAACCACAGGTCGATGCAATGCTGATGAAAAACCTGAGAACGTTTGGGGAATTTAGGCCTTCCAGTTCCGCGCTCAGGGTTTACAGGACTTAGTGGTTTGGGTTTCGAGCTCATGGTGCATATCCAAAAGCTGCAACAGGATCTCAGAACCTCTCGCTATGAAGACTGAGACCAAGCATAAAGCTTTGGATTCAAGTGTTGCAGGGGTGCCTGTTTCTCCCTCGCTCTCTCGGTGCCCCGTCTGTCTACATGTGTGTTTGTGTGAGCTGGCTAATTCGAACAAACTCAGCTCGCGCCAGCCTCTTGGAGTTTCCCCAAAACAGACGTCTTAAGGCTCCGTCAACCCCTCAACTCCACAGCCCTATCGCCCTGATCCGCAAAACCCCAAAGCCGAAAGCCTCAACCCCCGAAACAAGCCTCAAATGAAAGCCCCAAATCCGACCTCCGCCGCTTGGCCTTGAAGCCCCGGTCCCCACCAAAACCTTCAAGATGCTCCACACCCTCAACCCCCTCCCGCCCCATCTCATCCCCAACCCTCTTCGTTGAAGGCATAACTTGAAGAAAACCATGCGTTTAAACAAACTCTTCGGCCGCAAAGCTTTCAAGTCCTCTTACAAGGGTGACAAGCGGCCACATACACATGAGTCGGCAAAGATCGGCCTCCCGTCTTCGAATTCATTTTGGCACATTACCTTCAAGCGTTTACGTCAAGGCGCTGTTGTTGGCCTTCGTTAAAGCCGAACCCTGATGTAGTCTGCAGCATCAGGTTCTATGCAAAATCCACCATGCTGAGAGCGACTGTCGCACAAACATCTTCAAATCGTAGTGTGAGCCCTGCTGCAGTTTCCTCTTTGCTACGCCATCTTTCACAGACCGCATCGCGGCCAAAACCCAGAACCTTGCAACTCAAACCTTGGAGCAATTCAGCTCGGCAGCGTGGTGGCAAGGTAGCCGTCGGCAAGACGCCGCGAGTTCAAAATCCTCGAGGCAAACCTGACAAAGAGGCCGCAAAAATCGTTTTGAAGCCCTAGGCTGCAGGGCGAGGTAGAGATCATCATCAGGGATTAGGAATTTCTGGCTTTGGGGTTCTTTGGCGTTTCGGCCTAGAGCGTTAAGGGTTTAAGCTGCTCAGGCTTTCAGGGGTGGGGTTCGGCGAGTCTTTGAGAGTGTCGGTTTCCACTTCTACAAGGCAAGCTAGGGGGCCAGAGGTTGCGGAAGGAAGCTTAGATCGTCACAGCCGGCAACCTTTGAAGAAGCTCCGTTCCTGAAAACTTGACAGCCCCAGGCCCCGAAGCCCTAAACCCTAAACTCTAAACCCCAAGTCCGAATGAGAAGGGCTCTCGGGTGGTCTCTGGAGACAAAGTACCATGCAAGTCAACTGTGAAGAAGCAGCATCCGCAGGTGGCCAGTCGAACCTGCACCGGCTGCGTGAGAGGATCTGGGTAACGTGCTCTTCAGGGCTCAAGTGTAGTTTAGCTTTTGCTGTTCGTAGAAGGCTTTGTGCAACCGTAGTGGCCCCTGTCGTCGTCGTCACACATCCATACACACGACAAGCCCCAAACTTTCCATGGCGTTCTTGCCGAAGGTGTCCAGACTGATACTCAAGCAGCTGGTGGCGGATTTCGTGTTCAGGGCTTCAGGGGCACGAGGAGGTTCGTGGGAAGTTCTGAGTAACGCCACAGCAGCCGTAATAACTTATGCCCTCATTCAATTCTTGGTATCGAAGTACGTTGCGGCTGTAGACTGTAGAACTGACCCCGCCAGCTCTCGGGCCTCAAACACGCGATGAAGGTCTGAAGCAAAGCGACCCCCCTAAATTGACACATTGACTCCTGAATCGCTCTGCGCCTCTCGATGTCCTCGATGATCTGCTGATTTAAACCGCGGCGCTGGTTCATCAGCTCCTCGTTCAGATGCAAAGTCTGTGACCGGTATCTGAAGGTTTGCGTCACAACACTCAGGTTTGGGCAGCGCCGAGCGATTAGCTATACTGTAAAGAACGTATGGTAACCCCCAAGTTGAAGAATATGTTATCACTAGATTCTAGATGACATGCCTGTATATAGCGGGGCTGTCCCGAAAAAAGACGACGAAGTACGCACCTGAGGCTCCCGATCCCCAAATCTCCCAGAGCCTCATGCTTCGTCGATTCGTTCCAGCGCAAGAAACGGGAGAATCACAAGCCCACAAAGAATTTGATCCACCATCCCCAACCACCTGAAAAGGCTCCTCCTCCTCCTCCTCCGCCTCCTTTTGTCCTTGGGCAGTCCTGAACCCCCTGACAAAACTGCTGACGGTTGATCCCTGAGCGGAAGCTTTTGACAAGCCCTGTCCAACAGTTCTGCCAACTCCAAATTCCCGTCTTTGAGCTCCCAGTGCCACGCTGCCATGGAGTCTGGTTGTGGGGTCAAAAAGCTGCAGCACCCTATACCCCCGCGAAAAGAAGCCAAATCAAACCTGCCGAAACCGTCAAGGCCAAACCCTCCAAGGCGGCCACCTCGACCTCCCGAGCGGTTCGCT